CGCGGCCTTGTCTTGGGCTCGTCTCGGAGGCCGTGTCAGACATCGGGGGCCCAGGACCCGTCGAGGTTCGATGCGACGATGCAAGCGGCCTTTCATGGCCGATCCGGACTTTTTTTAGTCCAGGAGGCTGTAGTGGCAGACCGGCTGGTGGTGGTACAAGACCAGCAAGGACGCACACTGGCAGCTGGAGGCCTCAGAGTAGCTGGCCCGCGACGAGGAGGACTTCTCGCCATCCTGATGGCTGTTTCTCGCAGAACGGTCCTGGGTCCGAATGTTTCGCTCTACGCGGACTGTGCGGCCACCGTCGGCTGTCTCAGGTGCGGAGGGGGCGGGGTCGGCCAGGGCCCACTGGTGAGCCGAGATCGGGGACCGCCTCGAGGGAATCAGCGGTTGTAAGATCCCATCCCACACCTCGGCCAAAGACGTGCGAGAGAAAAACACGACTGAGCTGCAACGATTCGGGAAATCGCAGGCTGAAAACTTCGAAGAGGACGTCCAACACCGCCGCAAGAGAAAGACATCAGCACATTCCTTGCGGGAAAACGTGCATGTGTAGTATACCCGCATTTTCGGCACTCGACGCCTTCACGAAAGCCCCGCAGGCCCCCAAGACCGCCCCAAAACGGACAGCAACGCCAGGGCGGCCTAGGAGGGCCCCCCAACAAAAAAAAGGGGGAGCGCGAACCGACAACTCGAAACCTGCGCCCCAAGAAGGCCCCCGCAACTGCCAGCAAGCACCCAAGAAAATTCCAACACGGCCCAAGAAGCCCCTAGGAGGCCCAAAAGAGCCTTCAAACGGCTCCCAATAGGCCCCAACATGACTCAGTAGGACCCGCTTCGAATACGGTCCGCCCATCGGAAGAGTGGCACCCACGATTCCCATGGGGCCGGCGGTGCGGCGTGAGCCAATGAAGAATCATCATCATCACAATCAGCATCATCGTCGGAATCACAAACACCATCAAGATAATCGTCGTCGTCATCATACTCATCATCAGCAGCAGCATCCTGATCATATTCATCCTCTTGATCATCATCATCATCATCATCATCATCATCATCATCATCATCATCATCATCATCATCATCATCATCATCATCATCATCATCACCATCACCATCATCATCATCATCATCATCATCACCACCATCATCATCATCATCATCATCATCATCATCATCATCATCATCATCATCATCGTCATCAGTATCATCAGTATCATCATCATCATCATCATCATCATCATCACCATCACCATCACCATCACCATCATCATCAGCATCATCATCATCATCATCATCATCATCAGCATGATCATCAGCATCATCAGCAGCATCACCATCTTCATCATCATATTATCATCATCATCATCATCATCATCACCATCATCATCATGATCATCAGCAGCAGCAGCATCATCATCGTCATCCCGAAAAACCACCCCATCGTCATCCGCATCATCGTCATCACCATCAGCATCATCGTCATCGTCTTCATCGTAATCGTCATCATCTCAATATCCACCATCACCACGACCACCGGAACCATCACTGGCAAGCCTTCCGTCTCCCAGGGGCCGCGCACACGCGAGGCGTGAGGTATGACCCAACGTGTGTGTCAAAGCGCCGCGGCGAGGGACTCGCAGGATCCTGGAGGGTGGTGGCCACCCGAAGCTTATGTACCCGCACGGCTCCGAGACTTTGTGAAGACAGCGGTCAGCATCATCGTCATCATCATCTCCATCAGCATCACAAGCATCGTCACCCTCAGTGTCATCATCACCATCACCATCACCATCACCATCACCATCACCATCATCATCATCATCATCATCATCATCATCATCATCATCATCATCATCAACATCATGATCACAATCATCATCGCCAGCATGATCATCATCGTCATCGTCATCATCGGCATCATTGTCAGCATCATCATCAGCATACTCATCATCAGTGTCATCATCATCAGCATCATCAGCATCATCAGCATCATCACCATCAGCATCCTCATCATCATCATCAGCATCGTCATCATCATCACCACCACGATCATCATCATCATCATCATCATCATCATGATCATCATCATCATCATCATCATCATCATCATCATCATCATCATCATCATCATCATCATCATCATCATCATCATCCCCACTCGTCCTCGTCCTGATCCTCTGCCGAGAAACGGACTCCTTGCTGAACACTGCGAGCAGCGTGACCCAGGTGCGTATGCTCTTTTCCCGGAACTTCTCCTCGCGGCCCGCAGATGGAGACAAGACCGCCCAAGCAGAAGCCCGCTCCGGCAAAGGCCGCTCCGGCAGAGACCGCTCTGGCTGAACCCCGGTCCGGCAGCAGCGCGCTCCCGCAGAAGCTCGCTCCGGCAGAAGCACTCTCCAGCAAACAGCCCGCCGGTCCCGCCCCCTGTCCCGTCCAGTATGGACTGCCAAGCCCGCCCTCGTTCATCGGAGGTTCAAAGATAGGGCCCCGAAGGATGGGGTCCTGAGGATAGGACCCCATCCCTCAGGACCCCACATTTGAACCACCGACTTCACTTGGAAGCCCGCCCACCCGCTTCAGTGTCCCACCTGCCTGGCCCGCCCGTTGGGGTCCGCCCGCTCGACCCACTGGTCAGGCTCCGCCTTCGGCAGGCCTCGAGCTAAGCAGTGTTTGTCGTTCTCGTTTAGTTTTCGGCTTCCCTCGCTTCGTCTTCGTTCCGCCTATGCTGCAGAGCGAGATCAAAACGAGAACGGCCCACGAGATCGCCAAAGCACCGCTCAGCCAGGAGAGCCCAGAATCGAATCGACAAGTCGGATCGGCGGTCGAAATCAATCGGATCGGCGGAAATCGACGGCCGAATCTGGAAAAGTCGGCGGACATCGGCAGGCTGGTAGGCCTCCGTTGAGAGGTCGGAGCCCACATCGGAATCCGACCATCGAATCGGAATCGGAATCGGCATCGGATGGGACGCAAATGGACATACTAGTACTATATGTCCTCCTTGGAGGCGCGCGTCCGACCCGAACATATAGTATACCCATCTTGTAGTATATCGTTTCCCGAGCGGTGTGGCCAGAAAGCGCCCGCC